CAAATGGCAAAAAAAACATCATGGGAAAGAAACCAGGACTCCAGCCACGTGTCGATGCGTGAAACCTTAACGGATGCGGGAAATCCTACGGGAGGTTTGCTGCGGCCTAGGGAGGAGGAGGGCGGTTTGCTCGGGGAAGCACAGACGTGGGAGTCACTCCAGGGCATCCAACAGACCGGGACAGTATGTACAGGAGGGGAGGGCGCGGGTGCCGGGCTCAGGAAGGCAGCTTGGGCTCCATCTGCAGAGAAGCTTCATAAAGGGTTTCTTCGTCCATCACAAAGGAGTGGTCCAGCAGGTACTGCGTCACCTGCAGAGAGCACAGCCAGCCCTAAGGGTGGGACTCACCTCCTGCAGCCAAAGATAAAGGCTGGAGCTGGGAAGTGCCAACGGCCCGAGTGGCAAACTGAGTCACGGGGTCCCCGCCAGCAGACACAGGCACTGCCCCCCCTTATCACCCCAGGGCTGCAAAGCCTTGCCCAGGCCTCAGCTGCTCTCCTGTTTTTCTTGCTTGTTTCTCCTCTCTGGTACTACTTTATCAACCACAACGTTCTCTTGAGAACACAAAATCCTGATAACGAAGGCACCACCTAAGTGGGGAACAGCCAGGAATGCTGCTGACAGTGCAGGACCTCTGCTCTGGTGCTGGGAGGAAAATCTTCTGGCAGTTCCTGGCAGATTTTTCCCAAATTGCTCTTTGGCCTTGGCCTTGGTGTGGCTGATGCTGACAGGGGGCAGAGCCTCCTGATGGTTTGTGTGGCTGAACACTCATGGGCCAAGAGGAGCAGGGAGGTCATTATCATCTCCTCTGCCTGTCCCTTTCCATTACTCCTCACCAGACACAAGCCCCCACACCTGCCCTGCCTCTGCTTGCATTTCCTGTCTTAAATCTCTTACAGGAGCGTCCTGTGATCCCCGAAGGAGCTACCAGAAATTGAAGGCTTAGACACTGGCATTTGAGAGGGAGATGAGGAGGAGAGGGAGTGCAGGACCCTGGGGCAGGGCTGTACCTTGGGCTGGTGCTCAATCTTGTAGGAGGTTTGCTGGAACTGCCGGATCTCTCTTATGATGTGTGAAATCTGCCCGGGGATAAAACAAAGCAGTTGTTCCCAAACCTGACAGACCTGGCCAGCACCACAGCACCAAGCCAGAAGGGATCCCAGAGTGGTTTGGCTTGGAGAGACCTTAAAACCCATCCAGTCCCACCCCTGACATGGGCAGGGACACCTCCCA